TTGTGTTGAGCTAAATGCATCAAAGGACAATAGTGATAGAAATGCCATTTGGAAGCCTCAACTACAAGCATCGTTTGTTTTTATTTTCCATTTTAACTGATGGAATAGTTGTAAAAACAGCCTGAAATTTTGATTTGTGAGGTCTTTGTTCTTACATGCCACATTGTCCCTGTAAAGGATGTATTAATCTGGTTACACGTAAAAATTAAAGAGTAAAATTTACTCCTACAAAGTTTAGCTACTGTGAGATAACTAAAAAAGCAGTTCTAGCACAAACTTGGGCAAGCTTTCAAATTTACTGCTCAAGCAAACCAACTTTTCTAGTTGTTTCATTAGAGAACCTCAATGATGAGCATAGTTCATTTTATAATTTCTAAATCACTTAGAAATTTCTTCTTTTTAAAAAACATTATTTATCATGATACAATCTTAAAACATAAGCCCAGCAGCAGTGTACTGTACATGTGTACCTTCAGATCTGTACCAATACATCAATACAGAAAGATTACTACCTCATTTCTAAGGCTTTAACTAATGCACATTCACAATCAGCTCCATTATTAAAATTAAATGCTTCAGCTATCTCAACTAAGTTCAGTTTGATTAACTTGGAGGTTTTCTTACTTCAACTTCCTTTTCCTTTGCTTAAAGTCGTCATGCTGGCCAGTGATAATTTAATTGCAAGATAAAAACCCAACTTGAATAAAGGCAATGATAACGGTCCTCCTTAAATAATCTTTCATAAAAAATCGGTACGGTAGTGTTTTAGAAAAAATAGAGTTCTGCTTTCAGTACTTCTCTATGGAAAGCATGATCTCTGTTATTCTCAGCGTTCATCCAAACTAGTAGGGCTAGACTTTTTTGGCAAGACTTAGTCATTTAATGTCCTGTCATTTTAGCAAGAATGTTTCCCCAATGATGCAAATAGAATACTACACACAATGTTTATCAGTGCTATTCATATTAACAATAGATTACATGGACCTGATTAGACTTCTGTTATTTCCATTTTGCTCTGCTCTAAAAAAAGGCTGTGCAACAAGCCGAGTAATAATAAGGATAGATTTTACCCCCAAAAGAAGCGAAGTATTTTGCAAAACTGAATCAGAACAGCACTCCATTACCCATGGAGATATTATGTCCTCAAGCTATTTTAGAATTCCACAGTGAGCTAAGGCAGAAAATACTTCACATAAAACCATGAACTTAGTACTCAGTTGTTTTGCCTAGAATATTACTAATTAGCATTCTCCACAGGTTTTCAACGTGGTTATGTTCCTAGTCTTTATCAACTCACTTCAGTCACATAGGTTTGGGCTTCTTTTTGTAAGTTGCATTTTAGAAATTGTCTGTTGAAAACATACTGAAGACAAGACAAATTGGATTATCGGCTGTAAGACTGAAACTCTTCTAGGTTCTTGCCAATGGTATATATATATGGTGAAACAACACGGAAGGACTACAAAAGGAACTACAGATTTGATCTACTAAATATTGCAATACTTTAAATCATCAGCATGGTTATGTAGACAGAATTCCTTTCAGTAAGTACTACCCTCTTCCTTTCCCCATATGCTACTGTTTGTATTCAAGAAATCTATTTGCTTAATACCAAGTGTGCTGAATTAATAAATCTCCAACATACTAATTTTTCGGTTTTAAAGGGAATGCTTAACCTAGCATTGCACTGTACCAACATTATTTTTAACTCGAGTTGTTTTTTTCTTCTTTTTTTTAATTCAATACAATACGCTCTACAGAAATGACACACATTTCCTGTAAGTCAAAAACTGCAAAGCAAACAGATGGAGACACAGACTAAGAAAAGAATTAGAGTATCAGAATACAGAAGTTGCACTTTGAATCCTAGATATGTAGAGCCAGACCCCTAAACTATCATCACACTGTAAAGCTCCTACATTCTTCCTTTACTTTCTTCTGCCTTTCACATTACACTGAACCTTGCTGTTAGGAAAACTGAATTCTAGCTCCACCTGTGCAACAGGTAATTATAAACACAGACTTTGGTGTGTACTTTAAGCTTCATTTAAAATACTCCTTCACGTACAGAAGAAGGATGAGGCCTCTTATGTTCTAAAGAAGATGTCCTGTGGTTGGAGAAGAAATGACACAATCCTAGTGCTAAACTCTGTATGTCTGTGCATTGCCTTCTGGAGAGCTTATTAATTAATGTTTAGAAAAAGATGAATGGGCACTTAAAGGGAAGCAAAACGGCCTTGTATTTTAAAAGAGTATGGCGCTAAGTACTCACAGCCCTCAAATAATATCTCCTTGGTACACGAGTGTTCTTTCTCCCTACTACCTTCTTGTCCTTCCTACGGCAGAGGAGAGCAGCACCAAATACTATACCGAGGAAAGCATGTCTTCATAACAGCTGATATATGACTCCCCATGAAGAAAATGGAAGAGACAGAAAGCAAGTTCTACAACTCAAAATAGACAGCATTACATATCGCTAACATTGCTAAAAATTCCCCTCTCTTTTTCTGCATTAATACGCTACATAGGAAAAGGTTTAGCTGCCAGTTTATGAAATTCTCCCACCAAAGTACTGGAGGAGAAAGCAGATAATCAAGACTTCCTTAGATATAAAGCATAACTAGCGTAAGGCTACCCTTTCCACTTACAGAAAATTTTTTTTTCTTCAAAGTACTTTTAATTGATCTATAACAAAATCAAAATTATTTTTACAGAGGTACCCAAGGATCATGTATTTTTGATACTATGCACTGAGAGCTGGCATCTAGGGACATTCTAGATCTTAACTTGATTTAAAATACGTAATTAAAATGCAGGTTCAGTTTTTCATGTACCAAAGGACTATAACCTACATTCAGACAAACTCAGAAATCAGATATATATTAGTTTATATAATCACCGAGGGCCAACAATACTCCTTCAAAATTAGTGGCTAATGTATATCCAGTTTAAAACCTCAACCCTACAAACATTTATGTGTGAAATAGTTAATCATGCCACTGAAGCTAGCCACTAGTCAAAGTTATGCACATGCCTAAACCTCTGTAGACTCAGGGCTTAAAAATTTAACACAATACCTTTGCTCAGAGAAGAAAAACTAGTTTTATTGGAGCACTGTTATTTCTGAAGTTGTGTGTCATTCAACACATCAAAGACTCTTCACTGAACTTGAAATTATTTATGGACCTGGTAAGTATATTTCTATTACTTTAGACATCAAGGGCTTGCTACCATGTATCCTACCAGAGATAATACATACTGAATATTAACTGGTTTTTATATAAAAATTGATGTAAAACATATACACTTGGCTTATTCACTTACCACTACACAATTACCCCTTGCTTTCAGAAGAAAAAAAAAAAATTAAAAAAACCAGCGCATTCCAATTGAATGGAAGGAAAAAAACCAACCTCTGAGATAGAAGAGACAAGGAAAATCAAGTATTTCAGTACGAGGTAGGTCACAGGAACTTGTTATAGCATTGTTACAGATCACAACCTGAAGTATCACAAAACAATGGGCAGTAGGAGAGCTGTGGGCACGCAGCCAGTTCAAGAGCATACAGGGTGGAGTAAGGAGCCGCTGACTTTTGTCTCAAATATTCTCCTAAAACTATCTTCAAAGTACGAATTTTTTTGTCCCCCTAGCAGAAGAGGTCACCCGTGAAGGGACCAAATATTCCTATGAATAACACTGAAAAGTGTCAAAATTAAAGAAATGTCAAGTTAAAAATCTCAAAATCTCTAATTTATTTAAGATTCTTTAAGCTAAAATGACTAATAATACATTTTATGTGCTACAGAAGAATCATACATCCCCCTCTCCATCAACCTGTCTGTGCCTGCTGAAATTTGAAAATGACTGGATATGCAGTTTTTTTTTTGAAAATGACTGGATTTGAAGATTACAATGCCAATATTTCCAATTAATTGCTAATAGCATATGACTTCTGCCTTGTACATAAAGTATGTGGTTTTGGTTGTTTGTTTTTTTCTTTTAATAAAGGTTGACCAAAGCAGAGAAATTTCCAGAAGCAGCAACAGTTGCAGAAGGTAACTGTCATTGGTTTCACAGACTAGCTTGTTCAATAATGTTTAGAAATCAGAGTTACGAAAACCTTGCTGTGGTGCAAACTACCCCACATCTTACTACTATTTGCACTTGCACCTTCCTTTCAAGCACCTGGGACTGACTGCTATTGGAAACAAAATTCTGATGTAAATGGATCGTGATTTTGATACATCATTGTAATTCCTACCCTCAGCCCTCTGGAACAGTGCAGAGAGAGAGACTACAAGCTTTGAAACACTCCTGTATTACTGCAAGGATAAGGTACTTCATGGTAATTAATATCTTCTCAGTGTTTAAGAGTTCAGTGTTTGCAAACTGTATTTTCATGTGGTTCTGCTACTAGCCTGGTTGAGATACAGTAGAAATTGATCACAGTGAGTGGGCACAAAGTTATACCGTCAAACAAATAATTATGCTTTCTGCATTTACTCTAGGGCTGCTGGCATTTTGAATGATTAACTAGGACTGGGAGGGTTGGGGCAAGGACCTAGTATGTGGAGCCTTTGCAGAAAGTCTGGACTGACACAGCTGTCAGAGAACATGTCTGAATCGGCAAGAAAACTCTATATTCTTTCAAAAGAGAAAAATTGTCAACAGACTGCTGTGCGTACCTTCACCCCTTTTGGGCAGGGCGATTCCCAACAATATCCAAACATTACTGCCAGCACTGCCCATCTTAACTGTAGCTGATTATTTCGGTAGAGCACAAGAAAGGAGACAAGGGTCTCTGTGTTCATAAAGGATCAGCCTGAATATTCTAGCTGGGTTGCTATATACTTTATTTGATTAGCACTGATCAAAGACACCTACTGTAGTAATTCCCAAAAGAGCAGCTCACTGTTTTTTGTAAATATTTACTACAGTGCAGCGAAATATAATCGCTTGCAAAAAAGCATGACTGCAGCCAACTCCAATTATTTACTTACCGGTGGGAAATCAAAGTCTATCTGGTTGGCTAAATTTAAGATGTAGTCGATTCGAAACTGGTTCTCGGGATTGGCTAGTTCAACTGGAGGTGCCAAATTGCCCATTGCTGTCACTATTGTCTGTAAAGGAAACAAGAAAAAAAAATTGCAGAGAGTGTCTAAATAGCTAGCTTTGAATAGTTAAAAACAATAGCTCGTAAGTTTACCTCTATAGCTTCTTTAATATTGTTTTTAATATCCTGAATTTTCATTTTCTTCTCCCTGTAATAAAAAAATACATTCTTAAATTTATAAGCCATAACAGCAGAATATCTTTTTGAAACAGAACATGAACTTGAAAAGTATTCTATCAAAACTGTATTGTCACTATTGACTAAAGTGCTCTCAGTCACTGAATACTTTTGTAGATAGACCTGATTAACTATCTCATAACTTTTCTACTTAAACAGTAAACATCTATTAATATCCAAAAGTCAGTATATCTAATTATGCTTAAATAAAAAAAAAAACTTACTGCAGTCTTAGACTGGGACTAAGACATTCTGCAAAATCAAACAGATTTTGATTCATTTGAAAGCAAAATACTAGACATATGTGGAAGTCACTTAGAAAAACAAAAGGAGAAAAAAGGGGGGGGGGGGGGGAAATGGGTAAGTTATTAAAAGTAGAAACAAATGAAAGGAGACCAAAGAACCTCAAAGTACAAAAAAATTACAGCACAAAAATGATGTCATAGCAGAAAAAGCTAGAGCAGAGAACTCAACCTGACAGAGACATTCAAACATAAATTCGTTCGGACATAAAATCTAAAATAAATAATAAAGGGCTAATGCAAATATGTAAAATTACCTTTTAACTACAAGCAGAAGAGTAGGCTAAAAAAACACTTGGAATGCTTTATATGAGCACTATCATTTGGGATTAACTGCAGCCAAATTAAAAAGCATGAGGCTCAAACAAGCTAGAGTGTAAACCACTGCCTCTACTATATTTGTATTGTATTTTATGTCAAATCTGACAATAGTTATTTTCAATGCTAAATAGTGCAATCAAATGAAATGCCTGACCAAAGATTTGGTATAACCAGGAATTAGCATCCTAAAGATATTACTAGTATTGAGTCTGTAAACTGTAACTTAATTGTAATGCACTATGACAAAACTTTTACATTATTAATTTCTTGCTATACACAGCATAAAATTACTAGTTTGAGGTAAACCAAGTTAGCCATGTAGTTACTAAAAAAAACCACCTAAATTGTCTAAGTGACCTTTTAATCTTCATTAAACTGTTTTTACAAAACGCTTTCGTTATCTGAATATTTATACCAGCTATTTTTAATTTTTTTCATTTTCAAAACTAACATTTTCCAGCACAGTATCCCAGAGACTTGAAACTACCAACAGTATGTTTTCTTTTTTCACCCTTTAAAAGGCAGTGCTCACACTTTCAGTTTACAGACCACAGCTTGAAAACCTCATTTTACTGAGTTAATTAAGTACTCATATTGCAAATGCTTTTTATCACTTTTTCCTTCTATAATCATTCACAACCAACCACCAAAACGAAACTGAAAGCATATTCACCAATCAAGAATGCAGAAGAACAGCAGGAAAAAAAAAGTACTGCTTAAGTAACAAGGCAGACCTAGACGTCCAAGAGTGGTGGGAATTTTGGTTATCAAATGAAAGATTAATGCAACTTTTGTAAAAGATAGGGTCAAGGAAAACACCACCGTGCCAGCCACATGTTATGCTGCCTCTTAGATACAGATGTGGAGGATCTTACTATATATTCTACAGTTGTGAAAGCATGATTGCAATGCAAGTGCCACTCTTCCAGATGGAAAGCGAACAGCAGCATCAAATCATCTTGTTTGGGATGACTTAGCTGCATAAAGAACGCATCTGAATCAGCAGCAGAACTCTACCAAACAGAAACACGATTACCCCTAAACATCAGCTCCTCATCACTGACCACTGCATATATTCTCAAAACTATGGGGCAGGGCGAGGAAGGTCAGTGAAGCTTGATGCAGAAAGAAAATTAAATGATCAGTAATCAGATGTAAATTCTTGGTTTCCTTAGACTTCTTGATCTACCTACCGACCATCTTATTCCTGAAGACTACCAGTTTTTTGCTTTAGGGATTTGGCACCGCTGATGGGAATAAGGCAGTGAGCCAGGAAAGGCCAAAAGCACTGAACTAAGGAAAATAAATAAGACAGGAAAAGAGAGGAAAAACTGAGGCCTTTTCACCCTCTTCCTTCCCATCTTCAATGCTTTCTATTGGCCCAGGTCTTAAGAAACTCTCCATTCCACAAACTAAGACTTACGGTAGGTGTACAAATACTGTATTTTTCAGTTAGTGCACATATGGTTGCAAAAACGTCAGCCACTTTCTGTTTTTTAAAAATGAAGTTCCTTTCTTAAAAAAATGTAAATAATGGTATGAAAGCAGGAAATGTTTATCTCTGACAGTGTAAGCAATTTGTCTGGCTTCATTTTGCCTCCAATTTTCAGCTGTGTCTTGAACTTAATGAACATGTATCCAGATTCTGCCCCGTTGAGATCAAAAGGGCAACTGATATGCTGAAAGTTAAGCAAGACACTAGTATTTTTAAAGGATTAAGTAAAGAAATAATATTCAGTAATTTTGCTTTGTTTTGGAACATCATTAGAAAGACCGAAGTTTAGAAAGTCTTCTGGTTTTTGTTTTTGAGGTTTTTCTGGGTGGTGTTTTTTTTTTTTTTAAGCAAACTGTCTTTATATTCTCTCCCCTGGAACACTTACGGATAACTATCTCAAAGGATCAGCCAAGTGGACATTTACCTGACTGTTCCATACCATACAATAAAACACATTATTTTTATTACAGGTTTCGGTCAAACTTTCACATTTACAGCTCTTCACTGATCCTCATGCTACTAGCAGCGCTGCAAAGTGACAATGAATATGGAGTGATGTAGAACTCCAGCAATTAATGAACTGCTTGATAACCATCATCACCTTTACAACAAGAATACTCATAGTTCCTATTTCTGGTTTTGTTGCCATGGACCTATAGCATGCCCGGTAAACAAGGAATCTTATTACACAGCAATAAATGTATCATGTCATTTTGTGTTTTGTAATGTTTACTAAGCAAAATTTTCCATGACAATGAGATACTTTATTCTTCTGGAACTCAACACATTCATCAATCACCCATCCAACAGCTTACATACAACTGTAACTTCTTTTCAAAGAAAGGTAGGTGAAACTCATTTTATTCAGGGACTAATGAAGTGCAGTAAACAAAAGCTAAGCCCCACCTCTGCTGTCCCTTCACTCTGCCAGAATTGTTTTTGAGAAATCCCAGCCAGGTTGCACCTCAAAGTTCCAAAAGTAATTAAACTTTATTTTCCCCAACCACAAAGACTGAATAGTCAACTTAGAAAAAGATTCTTGTTTTTTTTTCTTTCTTATTCCCGGGTGGTGGCACAATGGCCAAAGCTACAAAATAAAAAAGCTGGGCTCCCAAAATGTTTTCCTCTGGAACAGACTGAGTAGATTGGGAATGGCACCATGCTATCCTGGCTAACGAATGACTGATGTCTCTGTAGGCCTGTTCTGTATCTTTAGACGCCATGGGTTAATAAGGTCATATTTTTAATCTTGTTTAAAACTTTTGCTTAGGCTGTGTAGGGTAAGCCAAACAAAGCATTAAACTCTATTAGTTGAGGATTATAAGAAAAATCTCAAATCCTGCTGTTTTCAATATTTAAATGGGCCAAAGCAAAGCTGCACATAGCTTTCAGGAAAACTAATAAAGTCTATTTTAGGTACTATAAAAAAAGATGACATTTTAATTCAAATAACATGAAATTAGAATGACATAAAAGGTCAGGAAAATCAAATATTCCTTGAAAACAAACCTAATCAGTATTTAGTAAAGAACTTCTCCACCTGTGGCTCAGCTTTACTATTAAAATGGCAACATCTTTACTCAGACTTTATCAAATCTTACGCAATGAACACATTACCAAACAGATTATCAGAAAGCAAACTAATTTAATTTTAATGTTCATTTCTGGTTTACCTTCCAGATAATATGACTAACCTGGAAAAAATATTTAAAGTTTAAAAAGAACATTCGAGAAGACCAAGGATTCAGCTCACCTAGTATAAACATCTCAGAGGTAGAAAAGTTAAAAAAATTTGGTGCTGGAATGAATGGTCAAAACAAAACATGTTAAAGAATGAAAAAAAAGAAAAGAAAAAAGTAGTAATAAATCCTGTGACCCCTTTATGCCATTAATCTAAATTCCTGAAAGCAAAGGAGTTTGAATTTCTTGGTCACTACTGACAGGTTAAGAAGCCGTATGCCTTGTTGCAAAGTTCTGGTTCAATAGGCAGAGTTCGGACAAAATTGAAGAGAAAAAACACAAAGCACTACCTAGTTTTAAATGAGAATGTAGTATATTACTTCTTTTTTCCAGCAAAAAATAGATGATTTTATGAACAGAAATGAAGCGATACGTTTCTTCAAACCCTACAAACCCACAATAAGATAGCTAGAAAAAAATCCGAAACATGCAGAGTACAAAGCAACAACGATAATTTTTTTTTTTTTTTTAGAAGGAAAGATAGCCATGATAATATAGCATTATCATTTTAACATATATCTATTACCTAAGGTAGTGGGGAAACCCTCCCCACATCTCCCCCAAATCCCCTGATTATACAGGAAACTCCACACTTTAAATGTAGGAATATTTTAGGAACCAAACATTAGACGTGTCATGAAGAACACTGTGAAGAGGTGAATTTAATGCTGTGGAATGCATCATCTGAGTGAAAGTAAAAAGACTTTGATCAGATAATATGTAACAGAAAAAGGCTTTTAATGAGGGTAAATTATGATTGCCAATTAATCCCGCTATGAACATGGCCTAAAAAAAGGAACATACCCTGTAACATGAATACTTACAATGTGAATACAAAATATTGAAACATTCTTTGCATATTGTGGATATAAATGCTAGCTTTCATTTTTGAAAAAAATGTCATTTTCTTTCCCAATTTGTCTTTTAACACATGATTTCCTATGTGCAGCCTTAGCATAATAAATAATGCCACATAATGGTTTGCATTTTAATGGTTTGTATACATTTTTTCATCACAAGTGAGCCTGTCTAGAATCCTGAAGGGTATGTAACAGCATGGGCAGAGCACACCATGCGACACAAGGACACCTACTTAAAATGACTGGC